TCGATTCTTTACAGAAAAATAAATATACAATTATTATTATGTGACTACACAACCGGTGATTGCTTATTGGTGCTCAGCACTTCTCGTCGGCCAGCAGCGGGTCGAGCGAGAACCCGAGGTCCAACACTGGCGCGGGCGGCCGCTTGCCCGCCGCGTGCTTCAGCGGCGGCCGGCGCGCCACCGCCGCCAGCCCCGCCACGTGCGCCGCGTGCCCATTGAGCGCGTGTCGGACCTCGCCGCCGAACAGCTCGTTCAGCGTCTGCTGCACCTCCTTGCCGCCCGCACCGACCCCTGCCGACCCCATGCCACTACTACACGTCACTATCAGTTTACGCACTTCAGGCTTATTCGTTTTACTAGCGTTCATATGCACTGTTTTCGATAACGACAGGGCGTTCGGATTGTAATAGTAATTGTTCACGTTACCCGACGACTTGCACTGCGATCGTGACAACGAAGACTTTATATTACTTCGAACAGTCGCGAATTTTTTACCTAAAGTGATTGCACCACCGGCGTGTGACGCGTTGAAGGTGCAGAGCGCCAGCGGGCGCGGGCACGACGAGTACCAACACACGTCTGCAGGCACTAGTGGCGGAGGCGCCTCGTCTGGCTTGTCGTCCAGCCGGGCCGTCGGCGTCGGCAACGGGGACGCTATGCTCAAGATTGGGACTTCTGGAGGTATTTCCGCATCGTCTGGCATGAGAAATGCCTCAGGAGCTAACGGTTGGCTCAACAGAGACGTGATGCTTGATGTATCGGGAAGCACCGAGTTAGGATCCTCCACGTTGAGGAGGCTCGCATAGATGTCGTTGACCTGTTGCTCGGCGGTGAGACCGTTGAACGTGCTCAGGTCTATCGAGGTATTGACTAGGAGCGGTGGGAGGTTGAGAGGCGCGGCGGGCGGCGGCGCGGGCGCTGGCGCGAGCTGCACGGGCGCTGCGGGAGCGGGCGCGACCGCAGTCGCCGCCGCTGCGGCCGCGCCCGCGTCCCGCGACGCTCGATGCTCCGCCAGCAACGTGTCGAAGGGTTTGGAGCGCCCCTCGACCGTCCTCCGTAGTGACAGTGCGTGTGCCTTGCACGTCAGTGACCTCGTGCAAGGCTTGGGGTTCTCTGCAGTCACTACACCGCAATGCTTATTCGGATCGTATTCTCGTAAATTAAACTTCGTTTTACTAGTTTTTGACCTAGAAGATGATTTTGTCGACGGTGTGGTCGGCGTAGCCACTGGCTTGGGTGGCGGTGGGTTCAGCGCATTCGCGTCCATCACCGTAGGCAACATGGGGGATGTGTTGGCCGCAAATTGAATGTTGGAGAGATCTGAATCTGATATTGCATATGCTAGTGATGATGAGTGTATAGGTGGATACAAGTCTTGTGCTGGAACAGTGTCCGTCGCTTGGGGAAAATTTATTTCACCCATATTTCCAATATCTCTAATAATATTTTTCCAGTCTGCTGCGTTTGTGATGTCATCTGCACTCTGAATACCTTCAGAATTCATTATAGCAAAAATATCATCAGTTAAATTTTCACCAAGAGGTAGATCCTCTGTGTCCTGTATACTGACCACTGGTAACTCTCCACACTCCATGCTCACCTTCACCTCCCCCGGCACAGTGGAGGATGTGCTGGCTTCATCCAGGTACTGTAGGTCAGGCTGTGGAGGTAACATTAGCCTCGACAGTGGAGGTGTGGCGGTGTGGGCTGGGGATGAATCCATTTTTACGGGGAGTATATCTACAGGGATGGGAGGTGGCGGGGGCTCCTTTTTATGTCGACTGCGGCTTTTGTGTGTAGAGACAGGTGGGGGTGGCGGGGGAAGGGGCTCAGCCCCTGTGTGAGACTCTAGCAAGTGTCTGTACGCTGCACTACATTTCACTATCACTCCACACATATGACACACTGCAGCATTCAAGTTGTCCATCTGAGGGAATAGTCCGTGGAGGCTCATGCTCTCATACTTGAGGCGGTTGAGGCCGGCGCGGCGGTAGCGCGCCTGCCTGTCCGCCTGTTTGTACGGGTGGCCGTCGTGCACTCGCCGCACGGACGCGCCACCCTTGTCGACCGCCGCCGGCGTCGTGAACGTCGCATCGTCATCCTGCCGCGGCGACAGGTGCCCTATTTCACTGACCCACAGATCCCAGGGCTTTTCATTGCACTTAACCGGGCTCACAATTTTCCCTGCGAACGGGTAATCGCCGGACATGTTTCAGCATTAAACCAATGACCCAATCGTGAAACTCGTGCGTTTGCCTTACGGGAGTCCAGCCATACCGTAGCCAGCCTCACTCCGCTGATAGGTTATTACCCCATATCTGCTTCGAGATCGCTGTCTGTCGCGAGTGCATTCAGGGTCACATCGTAGCTCGATTGTTTACTTCATTATACACACATATCAAACTAAAACGTGTTGTGATTGTCTTAGCTTTTATATTTACAGGGACAGATGATCTATCTCACTGACAGCTGATTATGCAGATTGTAAGTTTTTCTCGACCACGGAACACTTCCATCTATCAAGTATTATTTTGAAATCACTCCTTGGGTCCCGATTGTTAAAAACATGTGTTTATACAACTTAATTCAATTGATATTATATGTGCTACACACAAATAAAATGTCCAAAATTTCTGTTTGGTTGGTTGTAATTTACTATAGAAAGCATCAACACTTTTTTGAGTATTTGTAAAGACCGAAAGTCACTCTATGGTCATTCACAAGTGAATGAGCGTGACGTGACAGGACAGATATTCTCGTCACTTTGACTGAATCAACAAAATCACTGTGGATAGTGTAGCCTTAACATTATAATCATAGACTAAAAATGGAATACTGAAATTCTAACCTCCATGAATAATATTGTTTATCTGTAATGGTTTAATTTGACGTTTATCTTCGTTTTGTCAAGACTAAAGACTGTCATTGTTTGAAATGTCACAAAATTTATATTTTCTATCTACCTCAGAGAAAGAGAAATAAATAATTATTTAAAAATGGTTATAAGTTATATATAAAGAAATCTACTTTCGGAACGACTATGCCGGACACATCTCTGTCACAAAATCACATACCGTTGTATTCATGTGGTTAAAAAGTATATGCAAGTCCGTCCTCCTAGGTGTACCGATCGGTATAACCTTTCTTGACACAGTTGGCTATGTGGCCAGAGTTGAAGGCATATCCATGCAGCCGGTGCTTAACCCGGACTCTAAAAACACTGACTATGTATTTCTATCGAGGTGGGCGGTCAGAGACTATAACTTGCGGAGAGGTGACGTGATATCGTTAGTGTCACCGAAAGATCCAAACCAGAAGATAATAAAACGCATCGTGGGACTGCAAGGTGATGTTGTGAATACTTTAGGCTACAAGACCCAGTACGTGAGAGTTCCTGAGGGGCACTGTTGGGTTGAAGGTGATCACACTGGTCACACGCTCGACAGCAACACCTTTGGGCCCGTCTCATTGGGCCTAGTCAACGCCAGGGCAGCATACATCGTGTGGCCACCTAGCAGATGGCAAAAACTAGAAGCAAAGGTGCCAGACAACAGAAAACCTTATTTAGAAAAATAGTAAACATATTCTATTAGCGAAAAAAAAATGGTAGAAACAGTTGAATGATTAATTTTGATGGCATCTCAACAATACCTTTATGATAATAGTCATCATTTAGTTCCTTATTTATTGCTATGAGCCTGTAAATATTAAATAAGAATGCAATCATAGATTGTCGTTCATCTACTCAATAATGTATCTCAATAATTATTAGACTATCCTATCTCTATCTCTCACTATCTCCTATTTATAATACTGTACTTACTACCAATCTTACTTCTTATGTAATGTACATTTCATCATGGAATTAAGTGAATGTAAAAAAATAAATGTAACAATGAGTTGGATGACCACTAGCCAAATTTTATTTTATAAGATTGAAATGCTTGTTACAGTTCTAAAAATAAAATTTTGTTTAACTACCCACATGTTTTATTTATTGACATTTAGTTTTTCTGTGTTACCCTTTGAGTACCGTCATTATAGACACAAATAAAGAACAATAGGTTGCGGTCCCCGGTGTCCTCATGGTGTTTGACAGATTAGAAATAAAATTTTAGATGAGTTTGAAAACACACTATGGCAAAACATTGCATTTATTTTATCATTACATTATCACAGGATCCATAAATAGCTTATGAGTATGACATACATTTTAGACCAAAACATTCTACAATCTTGACTACTCGATCATAGGAAATACCTCTTCTAACCACATTGTAGACGCCAGTTTGGGACAAGTCTATCACAGTGGACCCAGTTCTATTCTGCTCCAGCCCTTGACTTAACACACCTCCATCAAAGACAGCTCCCAAATGACCAAATAGGTGTTCAAATTCTCTGATAGACAAAGTAGATTGCTCATTGCTGAAGTTTGCACTTGTCAATGCAACAGGCTTATCAAAACTCTTTGTAACTCTGTTCATAAAATTGTGATTTGGTATTCTGATACCTATTTTAGTTGTAGTAGGGTTTAAAAATGGATTGTCAAGATATTTTGTCTTTTCTAAAACCACTGTCACTGGTCCTGGAAGCAAGCTGTGTAGTAGATCATCGGGTAAGTGATCCGATTCACCCCATTTTCTTACATCATTTACATGTGTCACACAAATAGCCACAGGTTTGGCTGAATCTCTGCCTTTGATTGCATACAACTTTTTTATAGCTTCAGGACAGTTGGCACTACATGCCAATCCATATATTGTGTCAGTTGGCACTGCGATAACATGTCCTTTGGCTAGGAATTCTGCCGCTTTGACTGAGGCAAATTCTTCAGAGCTCTGTATTACTGGCGCCATCTTGTCTATCTTCATTTTAGGTGATGCACTTTTAGTTCTAGCTAAACTACGAAGAAAATTAAGTTTTTGGACACAAATCATATTCTTAAGAAAAAAATTCTGGAATTAAGCACTATATTGGCAAGTAATTGTCCAACACCGCAAATAAGTTTATCACTTGGCTTGACTAATCCCTCCAGTTATGAGCGCACTTGTGATTACAGCAACGGTAGAAAGTGGTCATAGGTTCATCAGCGGAACGAGTCTGGAGTTGCATGAAGAATGCTTTACCATGTCCACATTTAGGACACACAGCATCTGTTGAATCTACATTCTCCCAGGCAGCAGCTCCGCCCATGATATAGTCGAGTTCCTGAAAAAAAAAATTATGCAATATGTTTAATTAGAGTTCGGGAAGAAATACTACCTATTTCTTCTATAATGGTTTTGTATTCTAAATTAGCACAGTTGAAGGAACTATGATTTAAATAAATAATCATGCATTAAAATTACAAAGTAAGTGCATTTTGTTAAGCCCTTCTAGGAAACTTGATTTGTTTTGGTTTTTGAAGAGATGATGCAATAATTCATTCGGACTATAAAATGTGTGATTAAAATGGGTTACCTTCAATTTAGGGAAAGTTCGCGAGGATACTTTCTTTCTGATGTTGTACACGTAAGGACAAGAATTACAGGCGTACCTCAGTCCAGATTCAGGACCTTCTTCCACCATCAGAACATTAGCACACGTCGGGCAGAATAACATTATTATTACACTATAATTTCACGAGTGTATGCTTTTACACGAAGATTCTGTAAAAGATATGCTGGATCAACAATTTGTAATTAAAAATTAAGTTGTTTTGAAAAATATCACCTCAAGACACAAACAAGTCACAACTTAACAGGCAGATGACAGATGTTTATGTGCATCCCCTATACTTATTATACTCTTTGATGTGCATCCCCTATACTTATTATACTCTTTGTGCATGTATGTTGTATCGTGTGTTTATTCTACAATGAAAAAGGTTATTATCTATCTCTGTCTAAAACATTGTATAAATCTTCCAACTCTTTCACTCTCCCGAATATATTCTCAATAGAATGAACTATAAAGAACGAATGGTAATAAAATCTGAAAAAAATCAGTATGAACTTTTATTTTTCGTGTAACTTATATTATGAATTCGTTTTAAAAAATAAACAAAATGAAAAGTACATATATTAATTAGCTAATTTCAACAGTTATTTATTTTTCATAAAATATTTAAATACAAAGTTGCCATATATAGATGGTGCATCATTGTATTTTCGTTGTAATCTGTGCCGCAAAAATCAAACTTGTGTCATGTCGACTGTCGGACGGTCGTGTCGCTAAATATTTTAGGGTGTGTTTATGGCGTGATAAATTATTATTTAGAACCGTTGTAGTGAGATAGAGAGTAGTTTTGAATATTTAACAAAAAGTGGTGATAATGTTACGGGTTATACTGGATAAATTTTGGGATGAAGATGTGTGGTTACCGCCGAATACAACTTGGGAAGATATTGCACCGGGTCCAGACAAGGCAGTGGTATACAATGACTATAGGCACCTCCTGTATCCCCTGCCCTTGGCACTGATTCTGATAGTCCTGCGGCGTACACTAGAGGAGTGAGTTAACCTACTTTCTGTCGCTAGGCTGCAGTATGTGTGTCAGTGATTCTCACGGATGAATAAAGTCTAATGATGCACTCAGTGACTCATAAGATTTCGATTTCGCGAAAGTATAGCACTTAAAGCAGATTTAGAAAAAATAAACTCTTGGTCTATATTTCTTCTTTAGGTCAAGAATGTAAACAATAAAATTTTTGCATATTTTATTAATGATTTTCCATTTCAATTCAAGTGTTTTATTTTATTTTTTGATAAATATTCAATGTAAACAAACGTTGACTAATTCTATCTATCAGGAAAAGTAGTATTTGTATTTTAAGAAGAAATAAAAAATGCAGGATGTATAGTGAAATAAATAATTGAAAAATTATAAAACAGCAGCAGAGTAGCATGCAATTTATGACTGTAGTGTATAAAATATAATGATGCTCATCATAATAAAAGATTTTTAATATAATATTTTAAAGTACCGTATCAAACAGAAAAAGTTCTAATTTACCAAGATAATTATCATTTCCAATTATGTTATTGCTGTAAAAAAATACACATTGCACAGATAAAAAATATATTTCTAAATATGAACTCCTTTTATTACAGGTATTGGTTTGCCCCATTTGGGAAATCTTTAGGCATTAAGAACACTAGACCAAAGAAAGCCCCAAGTAATCCAAAATTGGAGAATGCATATCAATTATCACCAAAAATAAAGCATAAACAGGTATGTTGAATATTGAACTTTATTCTTTAACTGATAAAGTACTTTATTTGATAATAAATTGATTGAATGAGGGAATGAGAGACTTGTAAGACAGATTAATATTTTATCAGTACAAAATGTATTAAATAATTTATTTAAGTAGTTAAAATCATAAAAATCATTTAATGTGATTTTTAATAACAAACAAGACTATTAGGGTTTTAATTTAAAAAAGTCTTAAGTACTATTTAACAACAAAAGTGCTTTTGTGGTAAACCACAGGCTATTAATATGACATTATTTTATTTAAAAAATAAAATATTTTAATGTAGTACCAATTAGCAACATCATTGTGTTCACATTCAATATTTTAAAGATAAAATTCCTAAAAAAACAATCAATAATAATAAGTAGATTTATACAAGTAACAGATAAAACAGGTAATTATTTTCAAAATTTAATCTGTAGAAAAATATAAAAAAAATAATTACAAAATTCTTATTACCTTTTTAATCTATGTTAACAGCTAAATTGTTACTTGTATAGATAAGAAAGACTTTGTATGTGTGTACCATACTCTTTTTTCGGAATTTCAAAGTAGGTATAACACTTCATGAATGGTTATCTGATAGGCAGATATGCTTGGTTATAATATTTAAAGATCTATGAATTCATAAAACTCTAATTACATAATTACATTTGTCATAAAATTTGGTTTTTATGTGCCAGTCATAACACAGGACATATTATTTATATTTTTTATATGTTATAGCTAATAAACAATGCATTATAATTATTATTAATGGTACTTGGTGTGTAATAATTGCATGTTTGTGCAGGTTTGTGTGGTGTGCTTGAAATAAAGGTCTTATTGTTAGTTTGTGTTCACAAAAATCTTTATTGGGGTTCCAAAAATTTAGGCACCAAAATTTAAGCTAATGTGATTATTATTAAGTTATGTATACCTCTTGCAGCTTAAAAACATAATTATTGATTGATTTGATAACTACCTATGTTATTGTAATGTATGGTACTTACGCTTAACACATTCAAATTAAAACTATTTAATCAAAATCGAAAATCGATTTGTAATCCATATGATAAGTAAACTTTGGTATTTCTGTCTAGTCGTCCGAGACACGGGCGTTATCATCGGCAGCCGAACCGAAAGTAAATTTCGGTTTCGCGCTCAAAATTTATTGGTTCTATATTTGAACTTGAATATTTATAAAAATATGTAATGCATAGAGGAATGTTCGATTTGAATAAAATATATTACGCGTATTCTAATCGCGTCTACTGACGTCTGGGTCTGCAAACGGTAGTGGTAATTTAATAAAATTCTTTTAGCTGATATAAAATTAGAATTAGTGCGCTGCATTAAGTGGGTGGAAATCCAACGGCATTAGGACGTCATAAAAATAGAGAACACGGTAGTATCGAGCGATTCCCAAGGCTAACGGTTTATGACATTTTTGACAGTTTTCAGTCTAATTAACTTCTAAATATCATAATGCGAATTTAATTAAATTAAATCGTACAAGTTTTAAAAAAAGACGTAGAACTGGTTTCAAAAGTAATAAAAATGACATGACGCATCGTTCAATTCTTCAAAATAGGTAAACTTGTAAAATAAGTAAATACATATTTTGTCTGAAATGTCATATTAACTAAGTAAAACGTAAAGCAGTGAAGGTGGTGAGAACAATACGTAATTAACAGAATGCGCTATTCCACAAAATGAATAGAGCTAAATAGTCTTTACGTAGACCACGGAACACTAAAAAAACAAAGATGGACACGCTATCGATTTTCCCTCCATCAACCATTACAAAGACAGCTGTTCCGTTTCGCGCGAAAATTGAAAAGAATTGTTTACGACCGTCGCTGCTTCTTCCTAGAATTTCCATAAGTCCCAGCCTTGGGTTAAAATAGGACAATTAATGATTTATGGCCAAATCACCTTTGTCTCCTCATTAGCCTTACACGTACGTAAATAATACTTGGAATCCCTACCTAATATTATATTATTTAGGTAATAGTAATAATGCTAAGTGAAGCTTTTTAAACCTTAACCGTGCTTCCTTTCTTTTCAGTTCTTTTTGAACAAGGATGAGGTAAATGTTGCACAATATAATACCTCCGCACGTTTGCACGTTTTATTAACATGTGTATAGCTAGTTTTTAGTGTGTAGGGGTCGCATGCAGTGTTACGGTGTGGTCTCAGTGTAAGCGATAGGAACATAGAGAGAACGTATTTTTATGTAAATAAAAGAAAAAGCATTTATTAGACAAAATGTCTTATAGAGCGACATTCGAGAAGGTTTAAGTCGTAGAAAGATACTCTTCTACTTACACATGGAAACTATGCTGTTGAATTTGTAAACGCACCCACGACACAGGAGAAAATCCTAGTGTGGGGCAACGTTTTTAAAAAAAAAAGAAAAAAAAATTTACATGAAGTAAACAGTAGGTACCCATGTTTGTTCCTATCTAGCGCTCAAATTCCTCAAGAGAGGTGATAAAACATCTTTGAAGAGACGGCGAACCCACTCTGTCCGTTACATTATTCAAATATCTGCCACATGCGAGTTGATCAGTTTCCTTTCAGTAAAGTAATTTGTAATTGAGTTTATTTTCATGTATAAATGCAAATTAATTCAAGTCACATGCAAAAGATATGACAATAGCAATTGTGTTCCTAGTGAACCTGTTGACCTAGTTACTGTGTCTTAATTTTGCACGCCAACATCACTATTTAATTACTGAAGTAAAGTTTTCGCAGGTATGAGATCTACAAACTTTAGATTGCTGTTTGATTAATTAATGGATACCTTTCCAAGCTTTCCGTGTTCCTAAGGGACGTCAAATGTGGATTAAAAATGCAGTTTTTAACGAATATACACCTTTTCGAATCTCGCGTACACTTAGACCCACCTTCGTTGTCATAGTGCACGGTTTACATATTATTATTATCTGTATATATTCACCCATAGATAATAGTTATAGATAGCGCATGCTTTTTTTCAACAAACAAAGCGACTGCGGCATTGTGTAACCAATAAATCATTATTGAAACGACCTCTTTGTCAATATTATTTTGTTATTGGTTGATGTAACCACTGGTTTTATACCATACTCTGATGCGTGGCCTCGAATTTTAGAGTTGATGTGTAAATATTGGGTCGAAAATTATATTTTATTTTTATGAGTAAGTAATGTTCAGGTTTGTTGGAAAAACCTTGAGAAGGGCGTCATAAATCTGGCTGACTAAACGTTAGTGGGTAAAGTTCAACTGTAAGTCAGCAAAAACATAGAAAATGTTACAAGAATCTAAGCCGTCTCGTTTTTTCATTCTCCGAAATCGACAACCTTGTGTCTAATTTTTGCGTTAACAGTTCAACACAATGACTGAATAGTCGCATCAGATTTAGTGGCCATCGATGCTTCATTTGAACACTGCAACCTTCGATAATTGTGGAATTATTCACAGCACGTCTTTACCAGTGAATGTCTACTGAAGCCGCTGATCTGTTGTACTTAGTTGAAAAACCTTGGACAATAGGATTTCATTTTCTTTATGTCCAACAATGACCAATTTTCTCACAGAAATAACTGTATCTTGTGCACTGGACTAAAATCTTAAAATGGGGCGTCTGGTATCGAAGTATATCAATTGCAGGGTGAACCGTAAGTTTGTTGGGAAGCCTGGACTAGACAGTTAGACATGTTACTGTCAATCAAAGTTTTATTTTAGCCCAGTCTGAGAGGTTAAGTCCAAAACTAGACGGAATTCAACTCAACATGGACGAATGAAGTTTTAAACATTTTGGAAATGCACGAACTAGAATTATGGTATTTACCTAACAAGGGTATTTAACTGCTCGTAAGTCATAGAACTAATATGCTTCAACTAAGATGCTGATGATGGAATGCTTTGTTTTGTGTGGAATTTTGCCTCATAAAAAGTTAATTAGAAAAACTTATGGAAAATGAATACATTAGTAGAATGCAATAACGTTTTGAACGTATTTCGTGGTTGTGCAGTTACAAATTACAATACATTTTTGAATGCCTACGTCAAATATTCAAACAAACTAAATACATTTTTACGTGAAATATCAAAGCTGATGTTGACTAAAAACTAGAGATCGGTTTATATAGAACTAATATTTAAGATTTGTATAGGAAAAATAATATAATTCATCCACGTATAGTTTTCATTCTAATTTTATATTTAACTAACATTTACGGAAGCGATGAGGAAAAATTTTGTAAATTCTTAACCATTCGATTCGAGTCAAATTCAATATTTCAAATAATAACTTCGTAAAATAACAAGAATTGCACACAAATGACGTATAGAATTAGAAAACACGTTACGTTTCGCTAGAAAAACGACCCTCAACAATTTCTGAAAACGCATGACAGTTATTACCTTTTTTGTGTAGACACTTTATCTAAGCAAATAGTGACTTAGCCTTTCTTGAAGACCATTCAACGTATATCTTGATTACAAAACTTATTATCTATTTAAATGCGACATTGGAAAGATTAGAAAGAAAAAAACAGGGTCAAAAATTAAATCTGTAATTAATTTTGTGGACTTATTTGTAATGAATCATAAAAAAATAACGGAAATCGTGATAAAAACAGATAATGAGTCGCGTGACACTAAATGTAAGGAAAATGCAGTCATAATTATTTAAAGGCGACTAAAAGACATTACTAAGCTGAAAAATGTAAAATCTAATCTAATCTATTTGGTATGCTTCATTTGGAGACGTGGAATTAGGAATTTATCCACGAAGAACACCATAATTAAAGTCGTTTACTTTAAGAGAAATAATATCGTACACTATCTTCGCAATTACACACGAAATAGGAGATAGTTTGAGCCTCCAAGATTCTTCACACCTTAATGCCGGAACAGGTTGTTTATTTAAATCTAAACGTTAAAAAGATAAATGAAAACTTGTAAGCACCAAGTAAAGCCTGATTAACGATACTTACACAAAGGTGTTGACAGTAATAAAAAATAATTGACATGACACACCCATAAACAAAAATATAAAAATCCCCGCGTATTTTTTATGTTATCTGTGCTTCCTTATGGTGGTGTGTGTAATTTTTATTTATGTTTTTGTCAGTAATTATTATTGTATAAGGAATCGAGGAAGAACTTAATTACCTTATTCAGAATTTTTGGTGACGGGTTGGTGTGGGTATTGCCCTGAATTCGCTTAGTTTCTTTTTCGTTCATGAGCGTTCAAAGAATTACGTAATCTTCATTAAGAATCAATGTCAAAAGATTTTCACCGAATCTGAGATTAGCATATTCAAAATTACTCTTTGGCTAAAAAGTATATTTTTCAACTTCTTTAAAAGCTGCATATTTCCATAAGGGATAATTTTACATGAAAATACAAAAACCTTTATGTTTATTTTGTTCGATTTTTCGTATGCGACCCTGTGAAATCTACATAATATTCTTGTTAACATTTTTTACAAGCTTCCAGAATTATTGCTGTTACAACATGTCTTAGTACTTTAATATTCATGTAAAACATATATTTTAATGTATTTTGCATTTATTATACGAATTATGATGTAAGAATTATATTAAATAAAACTTCAGGCAACCAGTTGAGCGAAACATGTATGACAGATGGTCTTAATAAATTCGTGTGGGTTAAATTTAAAAAATATCTCAGTTACGCCCGTATGCTGGTAACCCATTAATTGACTAAATAGGACAAAGAATGTATCATACTATTATTATTGTATTCTTCAAGTGGCTGTTGGTTGACGGCTCTGTATTATTAATCCATTTATTAAATATCCATTCTGGAGTCGGAAGAAATTGGACGTATCATTTAGCTTTAATCAATGTTGTTTGTCCTTTTTAAAATGTGGGCCCTATGATTCATGTGATGCTATAGTTTTGATGGGTTTTTAATTGTATGATCTGTTCAATATTAACCCTTAAAAACTATGAAACAAATGATGCCCTTTATCGAAGTCCATTGTGTAGGCGTATACAGCCCACACGGTGTCCGAAGTATAAAGTTCTATGTGTATTTACATGAAAAGCAATCGGAGCTGTAGCAGCCGGAACTAATGTACCTTTGCGACAGCTTGCCGCGCCCTTAAACGCCCCCACATTTTACCCATGGCCATGGCTAGCTATAGCTTTTCGCAAAACCTCGTCCCCAAGCGATGGAGCAAACATTAGTTCTACTGTGTTTATATTTCTTTCAGTACAGTTAAGCTGATTACTGTAACCTTTAACGTAAGATTACCTTTAGAAGTAAGTTTTTTTAGACTGGAAACCTATCCTTCATTGATTTTTCAGTTAAGTATTCTAGTTAGATCAATAGTTTTGTATCAAGTATCATGATCTTATATCTGTTACATTTCTCAATAATACTTTGCTGCAGTAGTTAATCGTCTTTTTCAAAGTGCTATGGATAATAATTTTAGAAGCAAAGCTAAATAGAGTCTTTAAAGTATCTAAAGGTGTCTTTTCGCATTTCTGCAGTACTTAAAAACTAACTAACGACTCATTATGAGGAGTAACGTCAGCGCTAGAAGTTTGATGAATGAAAGACGTCTTTGAAGCGAAGCGTCTGCGAGTCGCGGTCCCGACCCGTTTTCATTACGTGGTTATATAAAGGTCATTATATGCCTTCAGGGCTGCCGCTGTTTACTGATACTTTATTGAAATACTGCAATTTAATATGAAGAAATATTTGCAATCATTTGCTTCCACTGGCAACCCAAATGGGCTTGTGCGGACCAGTTTGAGGTTATTTTCCATCATTCCCGTTTGACAGAATGTTTAGCTTTTCAGTGCGAAGACATGATAATGATTGAGTGATAATAAATGATCATTTTGTTGTAGCAAAAGATTACAAGACTCCTTAATGGAATAAAAACCATTAGTTGATTCGTTCTCCGCCCACTATAACCCATCATAGCTTGTAATAAAATCAAGTCAGGTAGGTACATCTCTATTAAAATCCTTTTAAAGTTTGTCTATGCTTGTTGAACTTTGACCTTGTGTAGAAGGGCTGGAAGTCAATGACTTGTAGAAGTAATTGTGTTTTTGCGTGTC